GCTTGAGCCACAGCAGGCAGGGAGCAGCCGGAGGCAGATCCCCTGCCTGCGCCCTTCGTGCCGCTCAGCTTTGCCGTCCTGACAGACAAGCGATGCTGGGTGCTTCGGGGACGAGCAGTGCGGGTCGGCGGGAGCAGGCTGCCTCCTTCCATCTGTGATCACTGCTCTCCGACCTGCTGCCGGGAAAGACGGGATCAGGCCTCGGAGTTCAGCTCCAGCTCCCTCCTTGCCAAGACGGGCCCCTGCCGGGACCTCTGCCCTCTGCGAGGTCACTTCTCCTTCCACGTCACTCGTCCCCATCCTCTGCGGGTTTCTCCCCCGTTGTGCCCGGTTCAGGTCATAAACCCTCTTCCAGGAAGGGAAGGTGCTCGGGAAGGGGAGCGCTGCTGGGCTCCTCCCCTAAACGCTTGAACAGGTAACCCGGTATCGCAGTAACGAGCCAATACATCGTTTTTAAGAGGGCATTTTATTTTGATTATTGGTTGCTGTAGCTAGGCAGCTGGACCTCTGGCATGCGGTGCATGTGCTTGTTTTCTGTCAAGTGGACTTTCCCGAAGGGATCGTCCTGTCCCTGCCAGCCCGGGAGTGGCAACGGGGAGCCGTGGGAGGTGAGGATGATGATGAGGAGGACTGCGATAGCAACCCCCTGCGGGACGGTCAGCCTGCAGCGGGGAGAGGAGCAAGTTGTGGACAGGGAGGGGGGCCATGGGGCAGGATGGTCCCTTGCTGGAGCAGAGGGGAGGGCAGGCAGGCACGGCAGGGCTTCAGACCAAACGTGTAGTTCTTCAGCACAATGTGTATTGACTGCAGGCGGTAATTCAGGCACGCTCACCGTGTGCTGCGGTGTGCCGGGCAGAGGAGCCCCGGCTGCGTTAGCACACACGCAGGCATTACCTTGCTGGTGGGACGGCGATCTGCTTCGCTGCTGCTTGGCCAGCGTTTGGCTCTGCGTGTTTTTGTCTTGGATCCTGGGTGCAGGCGGGTGCGTGGCTGCTCGGTGGCAGCCCCGGGGCTGGGGCTGCACCCCGGACCCTCCCGAGGTGGTCGCAGCCTGGGGTGGCAAGGGCCACCGCTTGCCCTCCTACCCTCCCGGTGTTTCAGCAGCTTGCACAGGGCTGTTTTCACCCCCTGGGATGCCTCTGCCAGACATTGCGCTTTCCTTGCTGCCCCTGGAGATCTTCGGTGCTCTGTGCTGCTGCCGTGAGGTGCAGTGGGAACAGGAAAGATTCATTGGCAGCGGGGCTGCAGGCTGCGCGCCCACGTCTGCTGCCACCCCCGCATGCAACCTCGGTTGTAACCTTGCTGCTTCTGCCAGCACCCGTGTGTCCCTGGATCCATCCCGGCTGCCCCGGCTCCTGTCCTTGCAGGATGACCAGCTGGTGGTGCCGGGACCCCGAGCTGGTCACATTGCTCAGGCAGGAGGATTTTTCTGGCTTTGTGGTGGTTTTCCCCGATGTTGCAGTTGACCAGTGAGGCCAGCCAGAGAACTTGAAAGCAAAACTTCCACAGCCCTTGGCGCAGCCCGGCTGTGACTCATGCGTGGGGTCTGGGTGGTTTTGCTCGTGCACGAGAGGAAGCAGAAGTTTCTGTTGAGCCTTTGTAGGATTTTAGGTTTGCTCGTCCACAGCCCTGGGGAGGAAGGAGCCTCAGGAGCTGAGCTGGCCCACGGAGGGGCCGCCTTGCTTTCCCCATGCGCCCCTGCCTGCAGCGCAGCCAGGAGCTTTGACTGCTTCCACCAGAGAGGTTTTTCCCCAAAACGTAGCCAAGAGGTTCAAGCTTTTAGGAAAATGGGGTGCTAGGACCGCGGGTGGATCTAACGGTGGCGCAGGGAGGATGATGGGGACCTTCTGCGCTGTCTTCTCGCTTTCCCCCAGTGATGCGGTGTGGGCGTGGGTGCCCGTCTCTCCTTTTCTGGCTGAGCCTGCTGCTAATTTTAGCATCTGCTTCGCCCCTGCGACTTGTCCGTGTTGTTCAGCGAGCGGCTGCCAGCGATCCTCCTTTATCGCTCTTGCACCGGGAATTATCTCCTTCTCCCCCTGCCTCTCCCTCGCCTATTTATAAGTGCTGTGGGCCATTGCTGCCGGGCGCTGCCAGCTCCGAAGGCTTCTTGGCTTCGCCCTGGCTCGTGCCTGGTGGCTGCAGAGCCCCGACCTCCTCCTTGCTCTTAGGGGTGCTGCTCAAATGCCTCTCGGCTTGCCCCCGGGGGTTTGCCTCCACGCTGGGGCAGCATCCCTCAGGGTCCTGCCCCGCTGGCGGTGGACGTGAGAGATGTCACGGCAGGTCTGGTTTGGCTGGGAACGTGCCGTGCTTAATGTGGGCAAGGTATCGGTGAGGCCACAGTGTGCAGCAGGGAGAGCGTGGCTGGTGGCTGACTGTCAGCATAGAGCTGGAGGAGAGGAAATGGGTCCTTAAGTCATTAACGTCATCTTCGTTATTATTCTGGAGGAGGCAGGAGGCTGCCCGGCTCCAGGGACTGGGTTAAAGTCCCTGAGCCCTTTGGCTGCCCCGGTGAGGGCAGCGGGGCTGCTCTGCCGTGGCTGGCAGCAGCACGGGGACGCGGAGGAGAGCGGGGTGAGCTGCACCAGTCGTGTGAAGTCGGCCGGGACCGAGCTGCAGGCAGGATTAGCCCCAGGGCTCTCAGCAGAGACACTTGGAGAGCAGCTTTAATGCTTGGAGAAAGCTTTACATTCTCTTATCGCATGGGGAAAGCAAAACGCTTGAATTCTTTTGCGGTTATCTTTTGGCTGTTGGTGTCCGAGAGGAGGAAATGGCCTTTGTGTGCACATGCATGTTTTCCACCTGTGCTTGGAAAGGGAAAAAAAAAACCGCTGAATTTTTGGACTTTGAGTGAAGAAATGCACAGGGGAATTAGCATGACATCTTCCTAACACCGTCGGCATGCCTGCAGTCTCTCGCGTTGCTCAAGTACAGGTTGGCCTCGCAGTGCCCAGGAGCGCGTGTGTGCAGGGTTACGGGGCTGGCTCAAAAATCCAATCCTGGATCCACTCAGGTCACTGCTAGTAAGAACTTAATAGGATTCGGATCCCAGAGAGAATCTGCGGCTTGGAAAGCAATAAACCTCTGCATTATCGCCCGTACATGGTGCCTTCGTTCAGCATGGCTGGGAGCCTGGGCAGAGGTGCTGTGCCTGGCAGTGCCGCCCTGCCTCACCCTTTGCCACTGCCCTGTGGCGCTGGGCTTCAGCTCCTGCCTGCTTCTCACGGTATTTTGAGGTTTCATCTCCTATTTTGGTGGGTGCTGGCCAGAACCCCGCAGAGCCCCATCCCTGGGGTGGGTGCAGGAGAAGGGCAGCGCTCTTGGGGGTTCCCTGGCATGGGGGGGGCCCTGTCGGATGGGTCTCTCCATGGGGACTGGCTGGCTGGGATTACGCGTCCGCCTGTGTCGTGCTGTTGGTGGGCTTTTTCCTTTTCTAACATCTGCGTTTCCCCTTTCCCGCTCTCTCGGCAGACCTGTCGGCGGCCAAGCGCAAGTTTGCGGACTCCCTCAACGAGTTTAAATTCAGCTGCATTGGCGATGCTGAAACGGATGATGAGATCTGCATAGGTGAGTGCTGGGCGCTGGTGCCGCGGGTAGCCCTGAAGCCATGCTCCACACCCCCCAGCTGAGCCCGGCATGGGGGAGAAACACATGAGGATGCCAAGGGGCCTGGGAATTTGTCTGGGTGCTTCCCTGCTCCCTGGAAATGGCATATTTCTCCTGGTTCAACATCAGCAAAGCCTTCCCAGGGAAATCGGTTGTTGCTTCTTGGCCTAAATCTAGCCCTGCCAGACAGGAAAGGAAGAAGATTGCCCGTATCTGAAACCATCTAGTTTATCTGCCCCTTTCCCGTTGGAGAGCAGGGATCTGGAGATGTGGCCGTGGTGAAATACACTGCAAGGGGCTGTGAACTGAAGGAGAGGAGCAGCAGCCTCGCTGCGGGTGGCAGGAGCAAAGGACCACTGTGCCGACGGCAGCCAGCGGTGCAGAGCCGGGCAGCGTTCTCCTAACCAAGCCTGGTTCCACCACGGAGCTTCTCGTGGTGCAGGGCAGCAGCTTCAGCCCTTTGCTCCACGTTATCCCACTTCTGCCCCAGCTGAACTTTTAGAGCTTATTGTGCACATCATCCGGAGCCAGGAGAGCAAATGAGCTTTAGCCCTGATTTAACTTTGCTTATTTATTTGTGCCCAGTCTCTCAGCAAAAATAGCTTTCTCATCCAAGGCCCCTCGCTGCGATGCACGTGCTGGTGAGCTGCCACTCGTGCACCGAACACGGCTGAGGCCGGTGCTGAGCCGTAGGGCTGATCAGCAACCGGCTGCTGGGTAGGGCAGGTTCGAGATGAAGGTGTGGTGTTTCTCTCTGGAGGTGGGAACATGGTGCTGGGGATGCTCTGCTCCCAGTTACTTTTGTAGGCAACTGGGAGCCTTTCTGAGGAGAGAGCAAAGATGATAAAAACCCACAAGCCCCCCCAAAATACAAATGAAAACCCCCTGTTCAGTCTCTCTCTTAATTTAAAAATAAAATAAAATGTTAAATGCTGACTGTGCGAGTGTTTCCCTTCCAGCCAAGTCCCTGCAGGAGTTCGCCACGGTGCTGCGGAACCTGGAGGACGAGCGGATGCGCATGGTATGGCCCCGTCCGTTGGGAGCTGGCTGGGTGGTGGCACGGCGGCTCTG